CACACACACACACACACACACACACACACACACACAGCCTTTTCCTTATATGCGTTTTTGCAATTTACATGTATGCAAAAACGCATAAAAAGCATCTTCGCACGGGCAGCTCGTACGTTGGCCAATTATTTTTTGTTGGAACTTGTTTTAAAGCAGCGCGTGTTTAAATAAAAACAGCTCCTTCAAAGTGTCATTCAGTGTTATAAAAAGTGAAGGGGAAAGAAAGAAGGAAAAAGAGAGTGCGAAAATTAAAAGAGCATATTTAAGCAAAAGAGTTATCTTAAAAAAATTACTGAGTGCATGCGAATGGCTGAAAAATTTAGGTTTTTAAGTGCGTAATTAATACTTGCTACATTAGATGAACATTTTCAGAAATAGCTAACCATTTTTTCCAACAAGTCATCTCCATGATATGAAGCAGGCCGCAATGGCCGACATTTGGCGACCGCATGAAGCTGTAGTTTCAATTTCTCCAGCTGCAACTACACACCGCAATACATTTCTTTAAAAAAAAAAAGCGGCTAAAACAGCTGCTTTGCAAGAATTCATTGAAAAATAGCACTTTTCGAAAGCAAGATAAAAGATTTCAAGTATTTTGAAGAACACTACAGAATATACTTTCTTAATCAATAACAGCAACACTTATAAAAATTCTCGTCAACATACTATATTGGAATAGACGATAATGAGGTTTAAGACTATGCTCATCTCCAAACTTCGCCATCAACTCAAGACTTGATCGAGGATTTCGGGGCAAAACTTGTGCAAAGAGGGGAAACTGGAGATGCATCAGCACTGCAAGATACTTCCGGGAGAAATGACGGGAATGACAGTAGTCATGGCCTTTGTTCCGTGGAGGATCGTTGGTAGTACCATTGCTTGTAAAAAACAAGTGAGCTGCAAGGGAGATTAGACGCACTGTTAATATTGGTTGCCACTCACTCTTTGTTCATATCAGCCGTATATTCCTTTCACATCAACTACTTGAGCATGAGGTTTTTTTGACGAACGTCGGAATTGCTGGTTTATTGGGTGCTGCGACTTTGAATGGGCAGTTTGCAGTTTCGATTCTAAGTATAATTCTCTCTCTACTGATTAATACTCTTTCACACATTCCTGGTTAGCTACACAAGTAAGCCTACTTAGAGCTAGCATCTACCAGGCAGACTGCTCAAAAGGAAACCCAGGCTGAAAAGTACCAGATTTGCTGGTTGCGATCATGCGTTTTGCACCATACCCAGATCGCTAACTAAATGAATGTTTATTGCATTACACCTACGTTTTGCGCTCATTAGCATAAATCATCATAAATTTTGCATAAAGGAAATGAACAGTTTCCGTTTAACGGTTGTCCTTTGAAAGTGACCTGGCCGATCACTGAGCAATTTCCCCGCTAAAACTTTCACGTGTCCGTGCCAAAGAACTGAACATACGTGGAAGTTGAGTTTGAAATACTTGAGTACAGGAACAGGGAACATCTCCCTAAAATTTCAGCTTTCTGGTTTCCTGCTTCCCAAGTTAGTAATTTTCCCACTAAGGCTTTCACATGCCCGTTTATAGATACCCCACGTACTAGGGGGGGCTGGATTTGAAATTAAATTTAAATTGTACAATGACGGTGAACATCTTGAATTCCACCCTTCCAGCTCTTCTGGTTGCCGAGTTAACAATTTTCCTTCCTAGTCTTTCACTTGCCCGTACGCGAGAACCGACGAAGACCTAGAAGCTGGATTTGAAATCTTTAGCTCACACATGCACAGAAAATATCCCTGTAAAGTTTCAACTCTCTACCTTGCCTGGCTCTCGAGATCGCTTTCCCGCCACAAAATCAGCATATTTTTCAAGGCTTCCGTAAGTAGGACCCAGGCATACGCGAGTGATGATATTAAGACTGGAGGCACACATGGTCTGGGCACATAATTTCGAACTTTCAGCCTACAAGCTTTTCTAGTCCTCGTGTTAAAAGTGGGTGACAAAAAATGCGAACACACCGACACAAATACACACATACATACAAACAGCCTCTTGTCAATATGCGTTTTTGCATTTGAATATATGCAGAAACACATAAAAAAACATGCTCGAGCGTCAGCTGATGTGTTTTGTCTTTTATCTATTGCTGATGCAAATGATACCAAAGTTTAAGGTACTAGCATGTTGTGGACTTCAAAATAGTAATCCCAGGCCTGGCGCTCAACTCTTCTAGACATTCAAGCTAATTCTGCCACCATTCTAGCACCTTACTAGCTCGCTTCAGCGTTCTATCATTGTTGAACTGCAAGCGAATAATATCCACTGCATGACACTTTTCCAAGAATCTCGAAACGATTTTGCTCTTTATAGTATTGTTTAGAAAGACTAAAATTCGTCTCTGCTGAGATTCCACTAGCCGAATTCTGCGTCGGGCATCCATCAGGCTTCACGTGTGGGAATGGTGCGCCACCGAAAGGAAAGCATCATAAAATGCACCTGCACATGAGCAATAAGTAAAGACGTCTGCGCATGCATCATCTCGAGATTAGATCGGTTTGCCTGTGCGCTCTTCTCGATGTAAGATGTTCGTAGCTGACCCAGCTGAAAAATTATAACTCACCAGGATAAGTGAAAAAAGAAACAAATTTTGAGCCTCGACGCAAAAAAAAATTTTGAGAGTCAACATTTTTGCGCCTTTAGTTTAGTTCGGACTTCCTTCAGCATTTCATTGTCTCATAAATCTAGTTTGACAAGAACCATATAAATTTTCACATATAGTCCGTTTAAAATAGTTCCCTCTAATGATAAATTTTGAAACAAGTGCTAACCCTCTGTGCACTTCTGAGAGTAGTGGAGAAAGTGGTGACAAAAAGCAGACGGCAGAGAGGACAAGTTCCTTACTTACAAGACCTGGGTTCTAAAAATACACATTTTTCTTAGCCAGACGGGTGCGAGTTTTCGCCAAAGAGATGCAAAATTTTGCGATGGTGGGTTAGAGCTTGCTCGAAAATTCTAAAACTGTGTTAGAACAAAATAGATGAATTGACCGGAAATCGTTCATATCTAAACTACTCGAAACACCATATTTTAGAAGTTATCAAGGACACTGAGATCATGCGGACAATCGGCATATTCCAATTATGCCTTATCCCACGATTTCAAATCAAAATATTTACTAACCTAACCGCTTCAGATTCAAAAAAGCTCCAAACTAGCAGGTTAAAAGTTAAAGAGTTTCAAGCAAAAGTGTGAAAGTACCTCCCCAAGCGTCGTCGTTGTTCTGTAGCCCTACATAACGTTTAGGATAATTCGACAAACTTAAAACAGGACTAACTAGAAATTCATCATTTTTCGATTTTGAATGAATTGCACAGGTCGAGATCAGCCTTTATACTTGTGGTTTTACGATTTATGAAATGAACGTCCAAAAAAAAGGCAGATGCCACCTCCCTATGCACTGAATCGACCAATTCCAAATCAGAACGTAGCCTTGTATGCGCTGGTGGTGAAATCTAGCACCAATTCTTTGCAAAACTGCACAATTATGCTGATTACCTGATACGACCGGCTTAGCACATTTTTGCGTGACTCACTCCCCACTGCCAAAGTATGTTAAAATAAATTCAGATGCTTTTCAGTGGAACTGAAGCTGTCATTTCCAGTGACAAAACACGGTTTAAATTTGTGTCATGACAACACTGAAAGAAATCTGGTTGAACGTGAAGACCCAACCTTTCGTACAACGCTGACTGTAAATGAGTATAAGGCATCGTATGAAGGCATCATTTCCAGCAGTTGACGAATACGGCAATCATAACTTCCAAAATCTGCAAATTATTGAAATGAGAGCTGCTCGGGGAACCTGTGAAGAGAAACGACAAGTGTTGCTAACTTGAGCTTCTTGACTGCATCATTGAGAAGTTGTCCCGTTGCAGTCTTTCGGTATGCTCCAAACAAGTCTGATAAGCGTTCTGCTCTCGAACTGTCTGATTTACTGCCTGCAGTGAAAAAAATTTGCATTAATTATAGTGCACTGTGGATCCGTTCTGATTCTGCACCAGCAAATGTGGGGAGCATTGACTCCTGATAATTTAGCAAGATTTTAAAATATCAGTGAAAAAACTGACATTGGACCGCTATGCTTAGCCACCCGCATACCTTCTTGTTTCACTTATCAAATGGCCTCAAACACTTCTTTGAGATCAAAAAGCCTGCATTTCTGATGCGCCCCAAATAGATTTCTTCTGCACTTGTTTATGCCGCTTAGAAGGAAGCAGCATTAAATGCTATTGTTTCGCATGCATTTTCGCGCTGTTTTAAGTCACTAATGCAATGCAAAATGAAATGATGCGATTATTATATATTTGTATGTAAAGCATATATAGGTATACGTGTATATTTCTGCATGACATCGTCATATATATTTACTTTAATACGGCATCATAATATGTATACATGTATATAAATTTTATGTTGAATTTGTCAGGGCGCTTATGAGTGTGTGTCCACTGCACTGATTCATTTCTAGATCTGCAAAAGCCAGGGGACCGATAAATGGAATGCTGAAATGCATCGAAACAAAAAATTTGGTTGATTTGACCTTGTGAGGTGTCATTATGCCCTGCATTCGCAGTAGGTAGGGTGTTGCCACAAATTTTTGTCTGCAGCTAACTTTCTTATTATCATCTGAGGAAAAGATAAAAAAGCATCAAGATAGAAAGAAGCAGTCATTCAGTGTTTCGTTACTTTAATCAGCTGCAGTTCAGAGCATAGCCTTCCAACTATGCTGCTAGCAGTTTTCTTCAGGTTCTTTGTTCAACGTTGTATAGCCGGTAGTCAACTTGTTGGCCATTCTAACGTTTTTCCTCTTGAAAGGATTAGCCAACGCTTATCCAGACATTTGGTGAACTGATCCGGAAAATTGCGGTTTTCAGGTTACGTTGATGAGCCTAACGGAGTAGGAGATTACCTAATCTAAAGTTTTTCTTAACATAGTATTTTGGCACTGAATGAACTTACTGCTTGCTCATTCTTCATCATCTCTGTTTTGATAGTTTGCAGTTCGTTTCCAAAATCTTTTAGCTTTTCCTCCACATTATCAAAGGCAGCATTTGTATAGGCAATAACTTGGCTATTCAGCGATAATTTTTCGAGCTCTTCATTTAAGCGACATCGATTTTGTAATACTTCCATCTTGAAAAAAAAATTTCTTTTTTTGCTTCAGGATTAGGTGCTGAAAAGCGATTGCTTTGTTTTTAGGTGGTGGCAGTTACCTGTTTTTGAAGAGAACTCATTTGAGATGCCATTTTAGAGTGCTCCATGGATTTCTCGCGTAGCTGCTCGATCAGTCGATTATTCCTCTTCTTTATCAAGGCTAATTCATTTCGAATTGTTTCATTCTCGTCAAGTATTGCACGACTGTTTCCCGACGTCCAATTGGCTCCTAAATTTCTTCGCATCCGATATTTTTTTACATCAATTCCCAATAATGGTGTATGCATCCTGGGCCTTCCACGCGTATGCAGAGAACACAAATTAGAAATAACAAACAGTAATCTTGAGGAGTCCACAGTCTAACCGTGCTTATCCCTTCATAACCATGGTAAAATTTACTGGGGACCCTTTCAAGTAGAGGTTGCAATTGTTGATGATTTACATATCTCGATGTTATGATCCATGCGCTCGCACTGCTTTCTGTGAGTTTTTGCATATTTCGGCGAATACAAATAAATGGCCAACGCACGGGCTGCCCGTGCGAAGATGCGTTTTTTGCAGAGTTCCCCGC